GGTCAAACTTCATGACAAGCACGTAAAAAAATTGAAATAAAGGTAACATAACTGAGCAAGTTACTGGTCCTTAAAAACTTAGTTCAACTGATTTACTTTTCTTTTCAGTAGTTTTTCAACAGGCAGTTTCCAAATTAATGCGAAATTAAGCCCAAAATGCATTGGAAACGGCCGATTTGGAAACAGTTGAATGATTCCTTTCTCCAATGTAAGTTTTTTTACCCACATTAGTTTTTCCAGTCTCATCAAGTGCCAGCTGGCTGATGTGATCTATGTGAAAGCCGTCTAAGCCAATAAGCAGATATTTCTTGATAGCTTCTTCGATGGTTCCCTTGACTTTTGTGTTTGACCAATTTAGCACTGGGTTTGCAGCGGTTGGATAGCCCAAGTACCTGAATGCCCCTAAGATTAACGTAACTATCTAATAGTCATTTCTTGACGCTTCATACTTTGTGGTATTATCACTAGGAAACGGGTGATAATTTGGTTGATCAAAAGCTTTGGAGCCTTCTTTAGCGGTAACAAAGACATCACTCTCGCCATCGCGGAACCAAGGATGATGAATAGAAACCGATGTCACAGGGAGATCCATCACAACATACATATCTGCAAAAAAGCATACAGTAGCAGTAATTACTGATGATAAACCAAGCTATTACTATAAGGTTTTTACCTCTGTTATGAGCAGCCTCAACAAGTTCTTTGAAATCTGCTTCGGTACCGAAACGTTTGTCAACTTGGAGATGGTCGACTACATCATAGGGATTAAAGTACTCGTCCTGAAAAAAAATCAAATATAACTGCGGAGAAATTGACAGTGCAAATAAAGTGATAGCAAAGGGCAATGCTTTCAAATTGGCAAATATTTCGAAACAGGAAATTATTTAGCAAAGACACGCTAGACCTTAGAATTTGGGATTTTTGAGATAGCAAAGAAGAGAGCAATGACAATATAACCCTATGTTTTATTTGTAAATGCTGAGGATGCTGTTGGGCTAATGCAACAAATAGTTGTGCAAGAAGCACAAACACTCGCCAAGAAGTACTCCATATTTTGTTTTACCTTGATCCTCCCACTCTACGAGAAAAGTTCGTGAGGTGAGATAAGAAGACCAAAAGCGTCAAGTTATCCTTCTATGTTTAGCCCTACTCGTATGTATTCGGAAAATTAATTCAGCGAATGTATTTGAAAACTCTCTTTTCTACCCCATTGAGGGTCCGAAATGCACACTACTCGGAAATTAAAATCTGCTGGTGATCTCGCAGTATTTACTTATACCTATAGTTGATACCTACCTATAGTTGATAGACGAAATTCTACAGAAATAAGACAATATATGAAATAAAAGGAGGGGCTCTTTTTTCAGATCCCCCTATCTATATTTATTAAAGGGCCAAAAGGAAACATCGAAATTGTAATATGTGATTAATAGATGTTCAGTGCCCTTTTTAATCTATTGATTTATGTTGTAGTAATAGATTTGCTGCCTGGTATCTCTATCGACCTTACATCATATGACTAGGAAGGCAGTTTTTTTTTTTTTTTGCTGTTTAAGCGTTTTTCGGAGTTATCGCAGTGACATGCATTCAAAAGCACAACTGCCCTTTTTGGCACCAGGTATCGGAATGCAGCTGAAAGCACGTAACATGAACAGGGACAAAGAGTACTGTCAGCACTCGCAATTCAGCTATGGGTTTGTGCAAGCAGACGAGTGGCCGGTAGGGTAAATAGAGACAAATGTGGTGACGATACACCACATAGCACTGATCATACAGCGCATACTCACCTTTTGGATTTCGATTACGGGAGTGGGATAAACAGTAGTCACTCCGATTTTCTTCAGCAAGTCGAGTTTCTCGGTAACCCCTTTAAAATCGCCAACTCCATCGTTATCGTTGTCATGGAATGTAGGAGTGAGGAGCTGCAATGATTTTATTTTTTGATGCATGAATCAGATTAAAGGTGGTCATAACACTTTTTACGTTCCTTATATATTTCAATTCAAATAAACAATATATCTGAACAAGTCTGTGATTTTGCAGTAACATTTCAGAATTTTTCTTTCAAGAATGTCATGCAACCAAAACTTCCACTAAAAAAGTTATTTCAGTTTTCCAGATTACCACTAACTTATCATTTTCCTATTACAGCAAGCTATTTGCATTACGACGTGGTTGTGT